CAACAACACGCTTAAGGCAGCTCCTCTTCGGATGAAACAGCTCCGGAAGGCAGCGCAGCCTGCAAACGAATAATCGGCGCAGGATCGCAAAAGCTAACAAGCGATTCAAATTTGTACTCGGATAATCTGAGTTTAGCAACCATACAAGACGCCGTACGCATTGAGTCAACATACGAGACATCTGCCGCAATTGTGTCCAGATTTAAGCTGTTCGATTTCACAAAAAATCCCCGAGCTCCAGTTGCCCACAAGGTAGCAAGACTTCCCGCCTCAAAAAAGATCGTCTCTGCTGAGTCCATCCCCCGAATTTTCCGAAAGGATATCCTTGATAGATGCAGTGCCAAAGTGCTAGCTCTTCAGAAGGCACACAAGGAATCAAGTGATCAAAATCTAGGTGAGAAGGACATTGTCGTGGAAATTGTTGGAGTAGGTACCTACTCCACCGAGGCGCTGGGTGTCATGAAGAAGTGGCACAAAGCGATGAAAACCATCCAATATGTGGAAAAAGCTATCGTTTGGATTGATACCATCGATTTCGAACTCCAAATGCCCCGATGGTTTTGTGTTGATCTTGATCCTGATACACAATCCAAGATCAAATCTATTCCTTTACTTTCGGTGCAGGTACGCAGTTGCATACAGTCAGGCCCCGCAATGGAAATACTAATATCTACTGCTGTGTAATTGCACATAGGCTGAAGCACTCGAACTCGTCGGCAAGTCTGCGTTAGGCGACAGCACGGTCAATAAGCTGATGTTAAAGTTGTTCGCAGCGAGAGAAGACACGATTGCTGTAGACACGTCAATCGCCGGTAACGTCATGAATGGTTTTTCAGCGGTGGAGACTATGAAGGACGTGTTTGCTGGCATGACAAACCAAAAGATTTTGATTCCTGTCATCTGCAACAAGAATCACTGGTGTGCGGTTATGATGGATCTGTCGCTTAAAGAAGTTTTATCTATGATCCAATGAGCTCAAGCTACGGCGTAAAAGCTCGACCTCTCGCTGAGAAGATGGTAGCATTGCTGCCAGATTTCGCTACAAGAAAAATACCGAATTCGACCATACACGAGCAAGCTTGGAGTGCAGGTTGATAGCTACAATTGTGGCATGTATATGCTGTTAGCTTTTGAGATATTTGCCGGTGCTGAAAACCTATATCTGCTAAGTCGGAAGGAGCTACAGTATTTGCGCTATCGGTACCTGTGCATGTGCATTTAATGCAACTAGTTTTTCAATGATTTGGTCTTTTGTTAGTGTGTTTGATGCGTTGACTACCTCCAGGTTATCCCCCCTGCACTTTGTCTTGAGAGTTAGATGCTGACCGTCTTGCGGGGTTCAGTTTCAAAGCCAACACACTGCCATCCGGTTATACGTATACTCCGAAGACACGTCAACTGATGACACGTCCGGCTCTTCCTGAGTCTGGCATATTCGGGCATGCTAATCGGTTGTATTCTGGTGTAATTGTACTGTCTCTTGTTACCCAGTCTGGCTAAATAAAGAGTGCCTTGATTAAATGTGGCGACCAGCAAGATTTACGAGAAATAAGGTTTTAATCCAACGTTCTTCAAGGTTAGAGTGCATGCACCTACGAGCTCAGAGTTTCGGAGCTGATGGCCTTGTGACTTCACCTTTCTGCTTCCTGACGCAGGAGCCCTGAGAGGGTCCAGATATTAATTACGCTTTACATGTAGCTCATTCGTTTCAACGCAGTAGTACAGCGGCCAATTTCGTCGAAAACACTTGTTACGCTCCGAAGTTGAGGCGATGGTTGTGTTTTGCCCACATACGACACAAAATGCACCGATTCAGTACAACCCAAGCTGACTGCCTTTTGGCCTGGCATTCGGCTGGTGGAGCTTGAGCCGGACCCCCCGTGCCGTTCGAACATTGCAGCGAGTGAACGGGCCCTGGCTCAATGGATTACCTCCTGGGTCCACGAGATTCTCGTTGCAACTTTTGATCCATCTCGATCTCAGACCTCACTTTCCTATTTGCCTTTGGCAAAGCACCTCCAACACAACCAACCGAGCTGTACTCCACGCCTCAACGATGAAGCTTCTCTCCACTGCATTCGCTGCCTTTGCTCTGCTCGCTGCCACCGTCAATGGCTCGCCCATGCTCCGCATGGAAACCGAAGGCAAGAGCAAGTCTGATCAGCAGCAAGTGCAGCAACAACAGCAGAGCAGTACCAGCACCACCACCAGCAGCAGCAGTGGTTGTAATCTAACCGGCACCTACAAGAAGGGCACCGACATCTCATCTTGCAGCTCCGTGACTATCGACTCGCTCACTGTGCCTGCCGGTGTCACGTTGGACTTAAGCAAGACCAAGAGCGGCGCTACCATCACGTTCACCGGCACTACGACGTTCGGACCGGCCAAGTGGGAAGGACCCCTCGTTCTGCTTGGAGGCAACAGCCTCGCGGTCAAGGGTTCCGGTATTCTCGACGGCCAGGGTGCCTGGTACTGGAAGCAGGGACAGTCGATCACTCGACCCGTGTTCTTCCGTCTGCAGAACGTCGTGGGCTCGACCCTGTCGGGCTTCACGCTCAAGAACTCCCCGTTCCGCACGTTCAGCATTGTCACGTCCAAGCAGACCACGCTGAGCGGTCTGACGCTCGACTCGAGTGCCGGCAACGGTCTGGCTAAGAACACGGACGGCTCGACCTGACCAAGAACGACCACATCACCATCACCGGCAATAAGATCTACAACCAGGACGACTGTCTCGCCATGCAATCCAGTACCAACACGGTGTTTAGCAACAACCTTTGCTGCGGTGGCCACGGTGTGTCGATCGGGTCTCTCGGCGGCAACGCAGTCGACCAGTCTTCGACGGTGCAGGGTCTTACTGTGCAGGGCAACACCATTCAGAACAGCGACAACGGTATCCGTATCAAGACCATCGTCGGTCTCAAGGGTCTGGTCTCCAACGTCAAGTACGTTGACAACAAGCTCCAGAACGTCAAGAACGCCATTGTCATGCACTCGGACTACAGCAAGGCCAAGGGGGGCTACACAGGCTCTCCCACTAGTGCTGTCACGATCGAAGGTGTGACGATCTCTGGTCTGACCGGCTCGGCCACCAACTTGTACGACATTGTTGCCAACCCGAAGGTGGTCTCGGGCTGGACCTTCTCGGGTATCAAAGTCAGCGCGTCTGCAAACGGTAAGGCGGTCGGCCAGCCCAACAGCGTTAGCGTGTAGATGTCCGAAGCCACACTTCCTGTCTTGTGAGCTGGCACCCAAATGGTCGACAGTAGGCCGATAGAGTGTAGGGAACGCTAGCCGATACAATAGAATTGATGTAAGTTTTTTTTCTGCGTAGTTTTACGTTTTGCCTCTGCCATGTTAAAAATGAAGCGACCGATACTGGACCAAACTATTTTGTAATAATGCATAGTATTCTCGTGATACTTCCTGCTCGTGA